GTAAAAAGTAAATAACAATGTATTTCATATTTTATTAAAATTAATGTGGTTGGATAACTCATCTGTTCATTTTTTTCTGGAGATTTTATTTTGTTTTTTTTGTTATAGAATTAAAGGTGTATTCTAAGGAAAAAAACTGGCAGGGAAACGGGGTTCAGGGGGAGTGGCACCCGTAGGATAGAAAAGGGGGAAGTGACGTCTGACTCAGAGGTCGCGCAGCTGTGGAGAAGAACGTGTTGCCCACATTCTGTTACTGAGTTTAGGCTAGTTAGCTAGCAGGTTTATTGTTTTGGGTGCAGTCACTTTTGCCTCCACTTGCTGTTCAAATAAATGTTGAAAGAAAAAGTAAATCTGTTTACAGTTCTGTTTCATATGGGTGTTGAGAGATGTATCCATAGATTTAGTCCCTAATTTTGCTCTCAAAGTGCACCAGATTGATGCATTTAACTTCAACATTTAAAAATAAATCTTCCCGGTGGAGCATGCCCCCGGACCCCCCTAGAGGAGGTGAGGTCCACCACCTGCCCACACCCCCTGTTAAATTGTCTTACCTACATTGAGGATGCTTCCTAAGCCCATCTTTTATTCCATGCGTCAAGTCAGGCAAATAGGGTCCAAATGTTATTGCATCAATGATCTGTTAACATTAAAATCACTAAATATATGCTGTAACTATTTTTGCTCTATAGTTCAAGGGCTCAGGTAATATGATTACTGATTACTATATGAATAATGGTCCAAAATAACATTAAAGAGCTTACGAAATGAAGGACAATACTGTTCTTATTACGATAATATATATACTATTATTAATGGGAAATCATGTCATTCATGACAATATGCCCGCTGTATTTATAAATCGTGGTTTATTACAACTTTCCATGCTCGCTTCCGATGTTACACGACCGCTCCGAACAAAACAGCTTTCGCCGGTTAGTGACGTCACGCACGTCACGAGTAGAACACTTGTTGAATAATACACTACCTATATGGCTGATGTCGGACTCTGGAGACAGAATCGAGTGACAGTGAGTCGTCAATAGACTCGGTGCACTTTCAAGAAGAGGAGGATTTTATTGAAGAGGATGCCGGTGTGGTGGAATCAGATCATGCGGGTGAGTCTAACGTGGTGGAACCATACCAGTTTGAGCCACAGTATTCAAGTAGCGGTAGAGATACAGACGGGAGCGAACTAGGGGGGTGATGATCCTGGATTTGGCGGAGATCCGATGCGGCAACAGAACACAGACTGGTATACATTTGACTTTAATTCATAGAGATTCTCAATAAATAGTAAATCAATAATAATATATCGTAATGTAACAGGCAAACTTGGCTCAGGCAACAGAACAGAGACTGGTATATACATTTGACTATAATTCATAGAGATTCTCAAAAAATAGTAAATAAATAATAATGACTGCTGAAAAAACCAGCTTAGATAAATGTAGCTGGTCAGGTTGTTGTAAATTGACCAGCCAGTAGATATTAGGCTGGAATGGTTGGCTGGAGAGGGGTTTTGGACACTTTAGCTGGCCAGTTTATCCATCTATCACCAGCTTATGTTTAATAATAGTATTAAATATACCCTGCTGGGAGCTTACCAGGATTCCAGGTGACCAGAACACATTAAATACTGGTATGATTATTTAAACAAGAGAACATAAATATATTACAAAGATTCATTGTGTCATGTATTCTGGTATCTACCAATATATCTGGGAAATAGAATAATCGGATCAGGATTCGGTATTGGCAGACAGAGCCGGCCCGACCCATTAAGCGACATAAGCGTCCGCTTAGGGCCCCGCAGCCACTAAGGGGCCCCCTAGCAAAAAAAAGAATTGTATTTATTTAAAAAAAAGAAAATATCTCAGTACACCGTCGCCGTGATAAGTATGTTTAATTAATTGTGTTAATATGCCTAGATTGCCTACTCTCAAAGTCATGTATTATATTATTGAGTCAATAATATAATACATTAACCGTGCTTTACCTGAACCTCATCATGACACAAGAGAGGACGGCAGGATTGTAATTTCCCGTGTTCAGTGAATGCAACAGAGGCAAGACACCAGACCAACCAGAGAGTTGAATGGAAATACACATCTGTCTTATTGGCTGACAGGTACCTATCATGTGAGCTGTGACAATGTTTAAAATAAACTGTCAGTGGGACTAAGAGTTTTTGAAGATGGACATAAGAAAACATTTTCTTAAAAAATACGACAAAAAATACTCACACAACAACCCCAGAGCCACCACTTGAGTCAGGTAAACAAGGTATGTAAATGTCAGTAAACTTCCAAGTTATGCAAACATGTAAGCAAAGCATACATTACAGCTACGTTGACGTTACTTTGAATCGCGGGGGTAAGCTAAACCGTTAGCAAGTAGCTATAGCTAGCCAGATATATTAAATAAACACTTTGTCATACAATCTAAATGTAATGTTTTTTAGCGTTATCTGGTGATTTCAAAGAAAGCTCTCTGGGAAATGTTGACTTACTGTTCGACATGAAGCTAGAAGCTACCTTACAATACACAGTTGATCCTGAGCAGAGGTTGCGCTTGACTTTTTCGCTGCCCGTCAAATTTCTGTCAAAATCCAGAATTACCCGTCGGCCTTTACACAACTCTGACGGGGGGGGGGGGGGGGGAAGCATGCTCGTGAACTGTCAACGGGGGGGAGGGGGGGGGGGGAACAGTTCACATGCGCCGTGTTATGCATGGCTGCTGCACCTCGCGGGAGCGTGCACAGCGTAAAGCCAAAACTCACAGACATTTCAATGATTTTTACGGCACAGTTGGTTTTGGAAACGGTATGATTTCCTTTTTGGAGGGCATGCATAACACGGCATAACACCGGAGCCTCGCTGCAGGGAATCTTTGGCGCTGTTCTGAGTTTGTTCTAATCTGTCAAAATGACGGACTGCTTTCAGATTTGTCTGTCATTGTTAAAAAAATCCATCATAGACGGAAAATATTCGGTTAACGCGACCTCTGATCCTGAGTCCTGTCAGTTAAAGTGTTTCATAGTTAGCTTATCTAAGCATCAACCTAGCACTGAAATATATGGATGGATTTTGGGAAGCGACGTGGAGCGTTGCTGGCGTTGCTCGCTTCAAAAGTTGAGCAATGTTCAACTTTTGGCGCCTCGGCAGAAGCGTCAGCCAATGAAATCCCGTTTATGCAAATCTGCCAGTACAAGCGCTAGCCAATCAAACCGCGTGTATGCTGGGAGAGACTACGCAGGTCATTTCCTCATATTCCAAAAAATGGAGGGAAAATTCATTATAGCGGTAGTGAATCACCCGGTGGTGTATGATCAGTCTCTGTTCATCTACCGGGATACAAACCGGAGGAGCGAGGCATGGAGGGAGGTGGCAGAGACAGTGGGTGAAACTGGTAGGTTTTCGCCTGTTTGGGAATTTTATATCCAGTTTACTTCGTTTTAACATTGCTATTGCTTTGTATGCACCAGTCTGGTTTCAAGGCAGGTCACTCCACAGAAACTGCTCTCATTGCTGTCACGGAGGAACTGCACACTGCCAAAACTGCATCCCTCTCCTCTGTCATCATCCTATTGGACCTGTCTGCTGCATTCGACACGGTGAATCATCAGATCCTCCTTCGCACTCTCCAAAAACTTGGAGTTTCAGGCTCTGCACTTTCCCTCCTCACCTCATACCTGAAAGACCGTACCTACAGGGTGACTTGGAGAGGGTCTGAGTCCGACCCTTGTCAATTAATTACGGGGGTCCCTCAGGGCTCTGTTCTTGGTCCCCTCCTCTTCTCCCTGTACACAAACTCGCTCGGATCAGTCATTATCCCGCATGGTTTTTCTTACCACTGCTACGCTGATGACACCCAATTAATTCTGTCCTTTCCCCGCTCAGAGACCCAGGTCGTTGCACGCATCTCTGCTTGTCTAGCTGACATCTCTCAGTGGATGTCTGCTCACCACCTCAAGCTCAACCTTGACAAGACTGAGTTGCTCTTCCTCCCGGGAAAAGATTGTCCCACTCTTGACCTAACAATCAACATCGGCACCTCAGTTGTTTCCCCGACTCAGACTGCAAGGAATCTGGGTGTGATCCTAGATAACAACCTGTCCTTCACTGCAAACATCGCTGCTACAACCCGTTGCTGCAGATACACGCTTTACAACATCAGGAAGATACGTCCCCAGCTGACTCAGAAAGCGACTCAGGTTCTGGTCCAGGCTCTCGTCATCTCACGCCTAGACTACTGCAACTCCCTCCTGGCTGGTCTACCTGCATGTGCCATCCGACCTCTGCAGCTCATCCAGAATGCAGCGGCTCGTCTGGTCTTCAACCTTCCTAAATTCTCCCACACCACTCCGCTCCTCCGCTCCCTTCACTGGCTTCCGGTAACTGCTAGAATCCACTTCAAGACACTGGTACTTGCTTACCATGCTGCGAATGGATCTGGCCCTTCCTACATCCAGGACATGGTTAAACCGTACACCCCAGCGCGTGCACTACGCTCTGCATCAGCCAAACGACTCGTTGCGCCCTCGCTGCGAGGGGGACCCAAGTTCCCATCGGCGAAAACACGTGGGTTTGCTGTCCTGGCTCCAAGATGGTGGAATGAGCTCCCCATTGACATCAGGACGGCAGATAGCTTGCACATCTTCCGGCGTAAACTGAAAACTCATCTCTTTCGACTCCACTTCGAGCGTTAGAACTATTAACGAAGCACTTTTATACTAATAAAGGACTGGCTTATCTAAAGCAGTTGAGTAGCACTTGAAATGTTTGGCTCTATGAAACCTGATGTACTTATGATTCTGTTTTCTTCAAGGTTGTGTCTTCCTGGTCGAATGTACTTATTGTAAGTCGCTTTGGATAAAAGCGTCAGCTAAATGCAATGTAATGTAATGTAATGTATGTCGGGGGCGGGAGATTCATGTGATTGGTTGTTGGTCGCGTTGCTCGCAAAAAATCCCCAAGCTTCAGACACGCCCACCGCCAAGCGTCAACGACGCACGCTGCTGTGTGGACGCTCCGTAAGTGGGCCTGTCTGTCAATTAAATCCCCGGGCCACTTTTCCCCCCCAGTCCGCCCCTGCGTGTAGATCTAATCTATGTTCACATGTAAATGAAGAAAGACTAAATGCGGACCAGTCAACATAGATAAGAATGTGTTATTTTTTTTCACTTACTCTCCAAATCGTCTAGTGTGTTTCTCAAACTGTATCATTAGAGGAAATTGTATTACAGGAGGCCCAGGTGCCGTCATGGACACTAAAGGATCAAGGTTAGTGATATTTATTCATTCAAACGAACGTTGTTTTGCAATAAGTGGCTCATTTATTCATGGTCGCATTATTTTTCAGATTTGTTCAACTTTGCTTGTGCACATCGTCTTTAGTTTCGTTTATATCAGAAGACAATGAGTCTAGTTCTAGGAGTGTTTTGATGTGATGCTCATACGCTAGATATTTATATTATAGTTATATTAAATTAAATGTAACAACAATATGACCTGGCCTCACGAGAGCTCTGAGCGAGACTTGAGGGTTCCGTGGTTGCTATGCAGGCTCTCCAGGTTATGCTCTTAGTTTGAACAAACACAAACTTCCTGACGGTCAGAAACTCAACATTTCTGCTCTCACTCGACAATTTCTCTGAAAACAAACCCTTAAACCTGATACGTTTTGCTTCCGGACCTCTCCCTAAACCCTACTGTCAAAACGTACAGGACGTTTTTCGGGTTAGATGTGACATTTATTCACTTTTTTCACCCATGTTGTTTTCAATGCATTTTACCACTGACGCTCTCCAAACCCCGTACAAAATCACCGATATATCTGAAGATATTGACCATTTCTTCTATTTGTATTGTTAATTAATCAAATTAGAGTGTAATAATCCTGTTGTGACAAAATACTGACCAACCGTTTCACCTGTTGAAAAAGTTAGCATGCTAACGTATGTTGATTTTACCTTTTTCTTTGTAGTGCTACAAACCATAACTGAAACAAGCTTACAAGTTAAAACATTATTTATCCTTTTTATTGAATATATATGACTGATATTCACGATTGTCCTCGTTTCTTGATCATTACAGAGTAGATTAAGTGAAATAGCTACAACAGAAATAGATTTGTATTTACATGCTATTGTCAATTAGTAGGAGAGCTTAAATGAACATATTGTTGAAGAAATTGTGGCGTAATTTTGCCTCTGTGAAAGTTATATAAGCCTGCTTAATGTAAACCTCACTGTAAAAAAGCATTGAGACATAGCAGTGCACAAACTAGGATTAGAAATAACATGTTCTAAATATGTTCTCATAAATTCAGATGTATTGAGACAAAAGTTGGTGCATTCTTGAGTCCTTTTTTCAGCCTGAAGCATGCTTCTTTTTCACAGTTTGCTTTCTTTATGCCTTGTTCCAGCAACATGTTAACATTTGTAAGGCAATGCAAAGAAAGTGTGAAACAAATGCATCCATTTGGGACTTTGCTACTATTTGATACTGCAAACACTCTTTACTCTTGCTCGTGTTTAGTTTTCGTGCATGTTCTTTACGTTTTGGCATTGCAATATTGATCCTTTGAATTCAATATGTGGAAGTGATTCTGGTGTTAACACTCCATGGTATATTAACCTGATGTGTTGTGTTTATCACCTTCAGTTGGTCCAAGCAAACAAGTGGGCAGCTCATCCTTCGCAGGATCCCAGCAGCACCTGGCTCCTCACCTGGCTCCGCTTCATTCAGTCCACTGAGAACCACGGTAAGAAGGGCGAACACTTTCCAGAAGCTAAACATCACACATTTTACACAATTACTATAAACACATATGGATTTATTGTCCTTGAGAAAAGTAAAGGCAAGACATGTTTTTTAAAAGTTTGCACATTACAGCCATGGCTGTTTCTTGCAAGCTTCCTTTCTTTAGCTCATATTTCAGTAAAACGCTCTCATGTCTGTTTCACTTTCTGCAGCGCTTGTTTGAACAATGTATTATTGCATTGTCCTCCTTTTAATTCAGTATGTGATGAGAGAGTGATTATTGTGTAACCCTCGCTGGTGTGTCGTCATGACGTGGAGCAGTGGTCTGATTGTTGTATTTATTTTTACCTTCAGATGGACCGGCACTACAAGTGGACAGCGGTCCTCCTGCCAGACCCCAGCCGGCTCCGCCTCATCCTGCGCAGGACCCCAGCCCCCCCCTCCCAGAGTGGCTCCTCACCTGGCTCCCCAGGTACAGCTGCCTCTGGATCTAACATTTCTTCTTCTCGCACCCCCTTCAGGGTGGTCTGCAGCTCCTCCCCCGGCTCCCACCTTGGCCCCCCAGCTGGCCCCGCCCCTGAGCCGAAGTGGAAGAAGAACCTGAGGCTTCTGATGAAGAGGAGGGACCAGGCTGGCAGCAGGGGGAGCAGGAGAGGCGCTGTGGATGAAGGTAAGTCTGACCCTGGCTCCTCCTTTAGCTCCTCCTCCTCATTTAGCTCTTCCTCCCACTCCTCCTCCTCCTCCCGCTCCTCCTCCCGCTCCTCCTCCCGCTCCTCCTCCCGCTCCTCCTCTCGCTCCTCCTCTCGCTCCTCCTCTCGCTCCTCCTCTCGCTCTAGCTCTTCCTCCTCCTCTACCTCATTCTCTAGCTCTTCCTCTTCCTCTCACTTTTCTTCTTGCTCTTGCTTTTCTTGCTCCTCCTCCCCTGTCCTCTCCTGCAGACCCTCCCCACCTGTTCCCGAGGAGGGCTGGTCTCTTGTGCCGTGTGCTCATCCCACCAGGATCGTCCTCCAGTGGCCGCAGCGGTCCGGCTCCTCCCCCCGACCCGAGCCCCCCCGTGAGCCTCTACCGGTGAGGAAGGTCCCGGAGCAGCAGTGGATGAAGAGCGCCCGACTTCTGATGAAGAAGAGGAGCCAGGTGGGCAGCAGGTGGCGCAAGAGAGGAGCCGAGGCTGCAGGTATGTCAGCAGGTAACGGTGCTGCTAAGCGCTTCTGTCCTTCCACTTAATTTCTACATGTTTTTTTCCCCCGGCTAAATAGAGTAACATTTGTTTATATTGTATTTCTTAAAATTGAATTGATTTGAATTTGAGTTAATTGGAATTATTTTTAATAGATTTCAATTAAATTACATTTATCGAAATGTAAGCTGTTCAAATTGAATTGAATAATTAAAAAAACAATTCGTTTTTGTTTAAATGATTTGAACGGGTAAGTATTTTCTCATTTAATTGAGTTCAATTCAGTCGAAATGATTTGAACATAAAAATATTTAAATTTGATGAATTCATATTTTTTTAAATTGCACTGCTTTGACATGAACTATTTTTAAATGTGAACGGTAAGTATTGGATTGAACTGAATTAAATGAAAGTGTATCAGATGTAAGGACCCTGCTCTGGTTAGAATCCTTGTTGCCGGTCCATTACTCAGGCAGGGTGTCTGCACAGAGTGGGGGGGATCTGGGGGGGACAGTGTGAACCTCCAACGTGTTTCACCCCCTCAGTGAAGCCCCCCTGTGCAGAGAAGGAAAAGGATGGCGACACCATGTCATATCGGTCCATATGTCTGTCGAGGGCCACCCCAGCCAAGAAGAGTCTGCAGAGACAAGGGCCTCAGGGCAGGGGCCACACTGGGGAAGGGAGGCGGGGACAGTAACTGTAGTGGTACAAACTGTGATAGTAAGATCAGCAACAAGGTGTTTAAAAATGGTAAAAAAAAACATTGAAAGGGTTAAAATGGGATAAAAGGGTTATTCAATCAGAAATAGAGGTTTAAAGAGCACAGAGGAGAGATGAAAAGGATCACAGCAGAGAAGAGTAGAGAAGAAACACTAAGGGAAGACGAGGAATACGAGAAGAGGAAATATGAGAGAGGGGCATGTGGGAACCCTCTCATTATTAAAGGTAAATATCATTTTAACATTTTCATTCGTACTACTTGTTTTTAACAGTGTTTGCATGTGTTGTTGTTTTTCCAGAGGGGAGGAAAGAAGCGAAGAGGAGAGGAGGAGGGAGGCAAAATTAAGAGTGACATGTCACAAACAACATGGTAATAATCAAGATATCCAATATAATTTCTAGATTTCACAAAGTTATTTACGTTTGTAGAAACTTCACATGCAAAAAAGGTAAAAACCAAGTTATTCAATCTTTTGTTTCTAGATTTCAGGAAGTTCAGTTCATCTGTTCACACCATAGACTGTATATATAAAGGTTCACACGTTATTTTTGAAGATTCTAACATCACTTGTTTTTATTTTTAGAGAGGAGAGGGTAGGAGAGGAGGTGGAGGGGCAAAACTAGGCATGACTTCTCATGTAAAGAAGGTCAAATACTCATACTAGATTTCACCAAGTTCTGTTCACGTGTTATTTGAAGATTTTAACATGTTTTCCTTTTATCTTTTAGAGACCTGAGAGGAAATGAGGAGAGGAAGGGAGGAGGCAATAATTAAGTTTGACCTCTCACAAAAAAAGGTATACATCATTTAATGTTATCACCACGTTTCGTTGAATTGAGTTCATTAGTACGACTTTTAAGTTTTAAATTATTATTTTAGTTTTTAGAGGGAGAAAATGAGAGGAAGAGGAGAGGAGGTGGAGGGCAATATGAAGGGCGTCTTTCCAATGTAAAAAGTAAATAACAATGTATTTCATATTTTATTAAAATTAATGTGGTTGGATAACTCATCTGTTCATTTTTTTCTGGAGATTTTATTTTGTTTTTTTTGTTATAGAATTAAAGGTGTATTCTAAGGAAAAAAACTGGCAGGGAAACGGGGTTCAGGGGGAGTGGCACCCGTAGGATAGAAAAGGGGGAAGTGACGTCTGACTCAGAGGTCGCGCAGCTGTGGAGAAGAACGTGTTGCCCACATTCTGTTACTGAGTTTAGGCTAGTTAGCTAGCAGGTTTATTGTTTTGGGTGCAGTCACTTTTGCCTCCACTTGCTGTTCAAATAAATGTTGAAAGAAAAAGTAAATCTGTTTACAGTTCTGTTTCATATGGGTGTTGAGAGATGTATCCATAGATTTAGTCCCTAATTTTGCTCTCAAAGTGCACCAGATTGATGCATTTAACTTCAACATTTAAAAATAAATCTTCCCGGTGGAGCATGCCCCCGGACCCCCCTAGAGGAGGTGAGGTCCACCACCTGCCCACACCCCCTGTTAAATTGTCTTACCTACATTGAGGATGCTTCCTAAGCCCATCTTTTATTCCATGCGTCAAGTCAGGCAAATAGGGTCCAAATGTTATTGCATCAATGATCTGTTAACATTAAAATCACTAAATATATGCTGTAACTATTTTTGCTCTATAGTTCAAGGGCTCAGGTAATATGATTACTGATTACTATATGAATAATGGTCCAAAATAACATTAAAGAGCTTACGAAATGAAGGACAATACTGTTCTTATTACGATAATATATATACTATTATTAATGGGAAATCATGTCATTCATGACAATATGCCCGCTGTATTTATAAATCGTGGTTTATTACAACTTTCCATGCTCGCTTCCGATGTTACACGACCGCTCCGAACAAAACAGCTTTCGCCGGTTAGTGACGTCACGCACGTCACGAGTAGAACACTTGTTGAATAATACACTACCTATATGGCTGATGTCGGACTCTGGAGACAGAATCGAGTGACAGTGAGTCGTCAATAGACTCGGTGCACTTTCAAGAAGAGGAGGATTTTATTGAAGAGGATGCCGGTGTGGTGGAATCAGATCATGCGGGTGAGTCTAACGTGGTGGAACCATACCAGTTTGAGCCACAGTATTCAAGTAGCGGTAGAGATACAGACGGGAGCGAACTAGGGGGGTGATGATCCTGGATTTGGCGGAGATCCGATGCGGCAACAGAACACAGACTGGTATACATTTGACTTTAATTCATAGAGATTCTCAATAAATAGTAAATCAATAATAATATATCGTAATGTAACAGGCAAACTTGGCTCAGGCAACAGAACAGAGACTGGTATATACATTTGACTATAATTCATAGAGATTCTCAAAAAATAGTAAATAAATAATAATGACTGCTGAAAAAACCAGCTTAGATAAATGTAGCTGGTCAGGTTGTTGTAAATTGACCAGCCAGTAGATATTAGGCTGGAATGGTTGGCTGGAGAGGGGTTTTGGACACTTTAGCTGGCCAGTTTATCCATCTATCACCAGCTTATGTTTAATAATAGTATTAAATATACCCTGCTGGGAGCTTACCAGGATTCCAGGTGACCAGAACACATTAAATACTGGTATGATTATTTAAACAAGAGAACATAAATATATTACAAAGATTCATTGTGTCATGTATTCTGGTATCTACCAATATATCTGGGAAATAGAATAATCGGATCAGGATTCGGTATTGGCAGACAGAGCCGGCCCGACCCATTAAGCGACATAAGCGTCCGCTTAGGGCCCCGCAGCCACTAAGGGGCCCCCTAGCAAAAAAAAGAATTGTATTTATTTAAAAAAAAGAAAATATCTCAGTACACCGTCGCCGTGATAAGTATGTTTAATTAATTGTGTTAATATGCCTAGATTGCCTACTCTCAAAGTCATGTATTATATTATTGAGTCAATAATATAATACATTAACCGTGCTTTACCTGAACCTCATCATGACACAAGAGAGGACGGCAGGATTGTAATTTCCCGTGTTCAGTGAATGCAACAGAGGCAAGACACCAGACCAACCAGAGAGTTGAATGGAAATACACATCTGTCTTATTGGCTGACAGGTACCTATCATGTGAGCTGTGACAATGTTTAAAATAAACTGTCAGTGGGACTAAGAGTTTTTGAAGATGGACATAAGAAAACATTTTCTTAAAAAATACGACAAAAAATACTCACACAACAACCCCAGAGCCACCACTTGAGTCAGGTAAACAAGGTATGTAAATGTCAGTAAACTTCCAAGTTATGCAAACATGTAAGCAAAGCATACATTACAGCTACGTTGACGTTACTTTGAATCGCGGGGGTAAGCTAAACCGTTAGCAAGTAGCTATAGCTAGCCAGATATATTAAATAAACACTTTGTCATACAATCTAAATGTAATGTTTTTTAGCGTTATCTGGTGATTTCAAAGAAAGCTCTCTGGGAAATGTTGACTTACTGTTCGACATGAAGCTAGAAGCTACCTTACAATACACAGTTGATCCTGAGCAGAGGTTGCGCTTGACTTTTTCGCTGCCCGTCAAATTTCTGTCAAAATCCAGAATTACCCGTCGGCCTTTACACAACTCTGACGGGGGGGGGGGGGGGGGGGAAGCATGCTCGTGAACTGTCAACGGGGGGGGGGGGGGGGGGGGGAACAGTTCACATGCGCCGTGTTATGCATGGCTGCTGCACCTCGCGGGAGCGTGCACAGCGTAAAGCCAAAACTCACAGACATTTCAATGATTTTTACGGCACAGTTGGTTTTGGAAACGGTATGATTTCCTTTTTGGAGGGCATGCATAACACGGCATAACACCGGAGCCTCGCTGCAGGGAATCTTTGGCGCTGTTCTGAGTTTGTTCTAATCTGTCAAAATGACGGACTGCTTTCAGATTTGTCTGTCATTGTTAAAAAAATCCATCATAGACGGAAAATATTCGGTTAACGCGACCTCTGATCCTGAGTCCTGTCAGTTAAAGTGTTTCATAGTTAGCTTATCTAAGCATCAACCTAGCACTGAAATATATGGATGGATTTTGGGAAGCGACGTGGAGCGTTGCTGGCGTTGCTCGCTTCAAAAGTTGAGCAATGTTCAACTTTTGGCGCCTCGGCAGAAGCGTCAGCCAATGAAATCCCGTTTATGCAAATCTGCCAGTACAAGCGCTAGCCAATCAAACCGCGTGTATGCTGGGAGAGACTACGCAGGTCATTTCCTCATATTCCAAAAAATGGAGGGAAAATTCATTATAGCGGTAGTGAATCACCCGGTGGTGTATGATCAGTCTCTGTTCATCTACCGGGATACAAACCGGAGGAGCGAGGCATGGAGGGAGGTGGCAGAGACAGTGGGTGAAACTGGTAGGTTTTCGCCTGTTTGGGAATTTTATATCCAGTTTACTTCGTTTTAACATTGCTATTGCTTTGTATGCACCAGTCTGGTTTCAAGGCAGGTCACTCCACAGAAACTGCTCTCATTGCTGTCACGGAGGAACTGCACACTGCCAAAACTGCATCCCTCTCCTCTGTCATCATCCTATTGGACCTGTCTGCTGCATTCGACACGGTGAATCATCAGATCCTCCTTCGCACTCTCCAAAAACTTGGAGTTTCAGGCTCTGCACTTTCCCTCCTCACCTCATACCTGAAAGACCGTACCTACAGGGTGACTTGGAGAGGGTCTGAGTCCGACCCTTGTCAATTAATTACGGGGGTCCCTCAGGGCTCTGTTCTTGGTCCCCTCCTCTTCTCCCTGTACACAAACTCGCTCGGATCAGTCATTATCCCGCATGGTTTTTCTTACCACTGCTACGCTGATGACACCCAATTAATTCTGTCCTTTCCCCGCTCAGAGACCCAGGTCGTTGCACGCATCTCTGCTTGTCTAGCTGACATCTCTCAGTGGATGTCTGCTCACCACCTCAAGCTCAACCTTGACAAGACTGAGTTGCTCTTCCTCCCGGGAAAAGATTGTCCCACTCTTGACCTAACAATCAACATCGGCACCTCAGTTGTTTCCCCGACTCAGACTGCAAGGAATCTGGGTGTGATCCTAGATAACAACCTGTCCTTCACTGCAAACATCGCTGCTACAACCCGTTGCTGCAGATACACGCTTTACAACATCAGGAAGATACGTCCCCAGCTGACTCAGAAAGCGACTCAGGTTCTGGTCCAGGCTCTCGTCATCTCACGCCTAGACTACTGCAACTCCCTCCTGGCTGGTCTACCTGCATGTGCCATCCGACCTCTGCAGCTCATCCAGAATGCAGCGGCTCGTCTGGTCTTCAACCTTCCTAAATTCTCCCACACCACTCCGCTCCTCCGCTCCCTTCACTGGCTTCCGGTAACTGCTAGAATCCACTTCAAGACACTGGTACTTGCTTACCATGCTGCGAATGGATCTGGCCCTTCCTACATCCAGGACATGGTTAAACCGTACACCCCAGCGCGTGCACTACGCTCTGCATCAGCCAAACGACTCGTTGCGCCCTCGCTGCGAGGGGGACCCAAGTTCCCATCGGCGAAAACACGTGGGTTTGCTGTCCTGGCTCCAAGATGGTGGAATGAGCTCCCCATTGACATCAGGACGGCAGATAGCTTGCACATCTTCCGGCGTAAACTGAAAACTCATCTCTTTCGACTCCACTTCGAGCGTTAGAACTATTAACGAAGCACTTTTATACTAATAAAGGACTGGCTTATCTAAAGCAGTTGAGTAGCACTTGAAATGTTTGGCTCTATGAAACCTGATGTACTTATGATTCTGTTTTCTTCAAGGTTGTGTCTTCCTGGTCGAATGTACTTATTGTAAGTCGCTTTGGATAAAAGCGTCAGCTAAATGCAATGTAATGTAATGTAATGTATGTCGGGGGCGGGAGATTCATGTGATTGGTTGTTGGTCGCGTTGCTCGCAAAAAATCCCCAAGCTTCAGACACGCCCACCGCCAAGCGTCAACGACGCACGCTGCTGTGTGGACGCTCCGTAAGTGGGCCTGTCTGTCAATTA